ATTATTTTGAGAAGAGATAGAATCTGTTATGAAGAAAATCGATGCATCATTATTATTTGGCTGATCAAAGGTATTAACTCTTACCTATAACTAATTATATTTTTCTATTCTTGTTTAATTCGTACATATTTTATATTCTCTCAAGTTTTTAATCTATGTATAATCAATTAAAGTGTATTAATTTCTTTTTAGAATTCAAAAATACTTTGGAAGATGCTTCAAAATTAATAATTTTCCTATCTTATCACCAGTATCGGTGCTTAGAAGTCAAGATACTTAAATGTTTTTTCGAATAGCTTTCGATAGGAACAAGATAAAGTTCGGAGGTTATTAGCATTCCATAGACATAGCCATTTAAGTATGTCCATTTTTATTCATCCAACAATTTATCAATCATTTGAATCTCTTGATATCCATTCTGACGATGTGATTTTAACGGTATCTTCCATATCATTTTAACTTATAAACGGCGTAACAGTTTTTTAGAAATCCCAGATTTTAGTTCAATAATCTGTGATCAATCGAAATTCTCTTTAGAGAATGGTAATTGGCCATTCTGAGCTGAGTGATGATCAGAATTGTCGATATTTTATAGAAGTGGAAAGGCTGAAAATTGAGCAGAAAGTGCTTTCATTCTCGGAGTGCTAGAAGTGGTGACCGGGAGGAAGAGCGAAACCCATGTGACCTGGCCCCTCTCACAACGGACGATGGTCACTAGGCCGTTCCTCTCCTGATGCCGGCCCCAATCCTATTCACTTGGCGATGACATTGGCTACTTATTTTTATTTCCCTTTCTGCCAGACAAAGGCAAATCTTGTTTCTGTCCAAAGTTATTACAAAGCTGTAAAAAGTCGGCAGAAATAGAGTTTTCAAAGGATTGCCTGTTTCGACTCTATGGAGAGACAATAAGAAAATCCAAAAAATCTTTGATAAAGATGTTAAGTTATTTTAAAACAAAAAACAGATGTCATCATTCGACTCAACATGGTCAATTACCGTTCTCTAAAGGTATTTTCAAATCATCGGCGATCAACGAAACAAAATCTAAGGTTTCTATAAAACTGGAAAGCCGCTTGAATGGAGCAAGGTAGAAAGATAATCAATTATTTTTTATGCAACGATGGTATTACAAGTTAAAATGAAATAGAATATTCTTTGAAAATCTTGCTTTCAAAATGAGTATCGAAAAATTCATCTGTTTGATTAATTGTTGGGACAGTTGAAAAACTGACATATCTGATTGGCCACTATTATCTTCTGTCGAATGCTGAAAACTGCAGATCTTTATCTAGTTCCTATCTAAAGTTTCCAAGTAATTTGACTTCTAGCGCCGATAGTATAGTGGCGGACGTAGGCTTAGAGCAGTTGTATTTTTCAGTTTTCTTCTCGATGATAATAGCTAGAAGAAATCTGAAAAACTATTTGAGTAGCTGAAATGATTCTTAGGTAGATCTAGAAATTCCGATAAAACTGCTTGGATGAGAATGTCTGATAAACCAATATCATAAGATCGATTTCTTTTAGCATATATTTAATTCTGTAAATTGAATGCAGTTTAACGAACGAACGTTATGAAGAAAACCGAGACATCTCATTTTGCTCTTTCAAATAAAATCATTTTCAAAAAGTTTCAACTCAATACCAGAAAACTGATTTTGTGAGTTTTGATTTATCAGACATCCTCATCCAGACAATTTTATCGGAATATCTAGATCTACCAGAGAATCCTTTCAGTTACTCGAATGTTTTTTTTTCAGATTCTTCCGAGTTATTACCATCAAGAAGAAAACTCGAAAACATAACAACTGCTCTAACGAGGGAACATTCCCAACTATCACATTGCTTTTGAGTCAAGCGTATGCGCATCATGTAGACCCTAATGATCTATGAATACTTTGAAAAAAGTTCGTGCCGCTTGCTTATTACTGCCGAGCTATTGCATTTTTACTGTATGTATAAGCAAAAAGCCGTGGTTCCCCTCAGGAACACTAGGAAAACTGAGTTTCGAATTTCAACTTGAAACTTTGCGCAAGGACAGGTCTCAAGGAGAATAGTTTATTGTGAAAGTTTCAGATCTTTTCATTGTTCCTAGTCTGTAATAAGAAAATCGGAATCTGCTGGTGTATATAAGCTATTTTGCCATGGCTGTATCTTAGGATGGGAACAATGAAAAGATGTGAAACTTTCACAATAAACTATTTTCACAGAGGCCTGTCTCTATGCAAAGTTTCAAGTCGAAATTCGAAACTTAGTTTTTCTAGTGTTCCTGAAGGGGACCACAGGTTTTTTTCTTAAACATACAGTAAAAATGCAATATCTCGGCAGTAATAAGCAAGCGGCACGAACTTTTTTCAAAGTATTCATAGATCATTAGGGCCTACATGATGCGCATACGTTCGAATCAAAAGCGATGTGACACTTGAGAATGTTCCTTCGTAAGTCACTATTGGGTCCCAAGTTTTCGGATCTGGACCCAACTCAATAGGTTCTAGTCACAAGAAATATGAAGGTTATATTCTTTTATTAAAATCTTACCAAGTACATGTGTTGAAGGATAAGTTTTGTAATATGGTTTATCAAAATAATCTGGTCGTTCATTTCCTAATTCAGTTTGTAATTCTCCAATTTGTTTTGGTGTTAATGGATGTTGTCCTGTTTTTGGTGCATCTAATTCTTCAGCTATATAACCAGCAATAGCTAATGTTTTTGGATGTGCAACACCATAAAGATCCATATTAGCTAAGTGAAGTGAACATAATTTACCCACACATGATTGTTCACTAATATCTAATACAGTTGCTTGAATATCTGAACGATTAATAGGACGATCAGCAATACGTAACATTGGCATTTGTGAATCATAATCATATGGTGTATCATTTGATGTTTGAGGAATAAATGCTGGATGCCATATGACAGCATATTCATCACCTAGCAAAAACAAAAAAATTTTTTTTTTATCAAAAAAACAAAAAACAAAGAATAATTTTAAATTACCATCAAGATCCGAACCAGATATTTCATTTGGATGTGGTCGTTTTCCTCGTTGTGGAAAAACAATAACATCTTTTAAGTGTCTTAATCGAGGCACATCAACAGCTGTAAAAACTCGAACATCACCTGGATGATGACATGGATTTTTTGTTACAACAACTTTTTGTTCAAGTATAATTGCTTTTTCTGATTCATTATTATTATTCATATAATCATCATTTAATTCTGTATATTGAATAAAAACTAAAAGAAATTTTATATTTAAATTAAATTCTCTTTTTTTTTTTTTGATTTTCTACTGCATAAATTAAATACCTTGTCCATATTCTAAAATTCCATATTC